TTTCTCTCTTCTCTTGCATTTCTGTTAGCTTTATCCCTATGAATATTCTCAATTCTTTATGACATTTCCACAAATCCCATTGTACTGTCCGTCGATGATGAAGGGCTCTTCTTTCCTCTTGAGGGGAGAGGTATTTTCTTGGTTTCCCATATTTCTTGTGCATCAGCAGCGTTTCTGGTCATCTGATGAATTATATGTTACTTCCTACTTTCATGGAGTTAATTCTGAGTGTTAGAGGCATAGGGGAGGAGATGATCTGCTATATTTCTAGTTCCGCTTCCTTGATCCTCACCAAGCAACCTACACTTCTCTCGATGGAACTGGTTATTACAAAGGTCTCACAGTTGCTAGGGAATAGGTGCACCTGTGCTGAGCCATGGAGTTTCAACAAAGAGTTCAAAGTGTGGGAAGAGATGAGCTACACTCACTGCAGCTCCCTATTTCTCCCTGCTGCTCACTTTGCAGTTGCTCTTCTCTGATTTTCAGTCATTTGGTGATATACTCACATTTGGCCAATTTGTTGGAGATTTCTGCTACTGTTGAGTCATATGCTTCACTTTACCGTGAGGCATTTCTATGCCTATTTCTCCTCTACTACTGTGTTTTGCAATGTGGTATCCACAGAAAGAGATTTGAATTCAGATTTATGAAGATGAGTTTCTTCCTTTCTGTAGCAGTTCAGTAGGGGTTGAGGTTTTCTACGACCATGAAAATATTCAGATGTTTCATTACTGTGCACCTAGACTTGTCTAGATATTCAATGTGTGAAAGTTGAGAAGCAACATGAAAAAGTCAGGTTAAAAAAAAAAAGGAAAAAGAAAAAGAAACACAAACAAAACAAACAAACAAAAAAACAATGACGAGGGGGAAAAATTTTTTTAAAGTCCCCCCCAAAAACAAAAGAAAAAACAATGGTGGCTGGGCCCACCTCAGATGCACATGGATTCTGAAATTAGCAATATTAAAGGAGAGATCAGAGACAAGAAACAGTACTTACAGATTTTCAAAGAACATATATCTTTAAAAAAAGAAAAATTATGAGAGACAGGGAGAGGGAGAGAGAGACAGAGACAGAGATAGAAAGAAGACAGAGACCACCCTACCTCACTTCTCTAGGAGTTAGGCTGGAAGGAGAGCTTAAGGACAGAGGCTTTTCAGTTAAAGGGGAAAGGCTGGGCACCCCCTAAGATGCACATGGATTTCACTTCACTCGCTGTTGGGCCAGAAGCTCATCTTAATATTTTAGTTGATAAAACTGGCTCAGAGGTGTCCAGGAATTTTTCCAAAATTATATGCACAGTAATGACCAGGGATTTCTCATTATACTTAAGGAAGTTTAGTTATCATGGGTTCACTCATAATGCTGACACCAGTAAATCTCAAAACTCCATGTGGACTTTTCTCATGTGTTCTCCAGCCATGGATTTAATGGTGTGTTTTACACGTTTGCTTAGATATTTTTCAGGTACCTCAAGTTCTACATATTTTCAACTGTACTTACCGTCTTCCTTCTCATATATTTTCCTCCTCTATTATCCCTGAGCTCAACATGAAGTCCTATATCTAACTATTAGTTTCAACCAAAAATTATGGTTCTTCTGATTGAAACACCTGATTCTGTAACCCCTGTCAGTCAACAGTGCTAACCTGCTAGCTTAGGCCAGAATCATTTTCGCCAAGAACATCAGTTAGTATTTGCTTCATAACACAAATCTTCTCATAACCAAGTTTCCTATAATAAAAATTATTTTACTTAACTCACTATTTTGTAGAGCAACTGGACATTTGTTTGGGTCTGGATCAACTTAGCTCATCTCTGCTGTTTCCTCTTGTATCTGTGATGTGCTGGTTAAGTTGACTGGTGGTTTAGAGATCTGCCAGGGCCTCATTAACAGGTAATCACCATTAGGTAGGCTGTCCGATGAGGGCTGGATGGCTTTTAATGAGACCACCTAAGTTTTTTTCCATGTGGCCTCTCTTCCTTCAGCAGGCTAGCTTAGGCTCATTTACAGGGTGTTCTCAGGATTTCAAGTGCAATACGAGAGAATAGGCACCAGTATAAAAGTACTTTTCAAGCCTTTGCATTATATTTGTTAATGTTAGCCAGAGCCACTGAGTCATAGTGACAAGGTGCTATCAAAGGGTGTGGGTATTGGAGAGGAATATTCTATGGCCATTTTTGGTGTGTGTGTGTGTGTGTGTGTGTGTGTGTGTGTGTTTGGTTTTTGAGAGGTTTTTGCTACAGGGCACATGCGCTCATCAGAGAGACAGAGAGAGACAGGGAGTCAGAATGCAAGAAATCACTCCCCAGGGGGAATGGCCATGCCACAATCTTTCTCCTCTATTCTCCTCTCAGGATCTTGGGCATGCACACACATGTGCCTGGCATGAGTTTAAGCCACTGGGTTCAGGACTTGAACCGCAGTCAACTACATGGGAGTTCAGCGACATAGCCATTATGCTAACTGCTGGTCCCTCTATGGCCATTGTTGAAATTTATTACACTGGGACTCTACAGTAACCTCTTACTGGTTTCTTTGCCAACATTATTGCATCCTCCAATCCATTTATCACACAGCAGTCAATGAATGGTCTATGATGTCGCTATCCTGCTTAAAATCTCATTGGCATAGCATTGTCCCAACTCACTAACACTATAGATAAGGTACTCCAAGATTTGTATTCTATTTACTTCTTTGGGTTTTTGTTCTTTGAGTTTTTTTCTTTGTTTGTCTATGTGTCTGTAGTTTTCTGTTGCTGTTGCTGTTGTTGTTTTATTGCCAGAGGGCATATGCACTCGCTAAAGAGAGAAAGAGAGAGAGAGAGAGAGAAAAGGCACCTCCCGAGGAGACATGGCCATGCTGCAATCCTTTTTCCTCCATTCCTCCCCGCTGTCAGGCTTTGGTACATGTATACACACACATACCTGGTGTGTTTTTCAAACTGCCAGGGCTGGAATACAAACCACAGTTGGCCATGTGAGTTCTAGGCTCCCTATGCAAAGGCTTTGCCACTGCTCTGTGATTAAATCCTACCTCTTTGGATTTGATCCTTTCGTATTCTTAATTTCCTTGATTATTTAAATAGCATTATTCTCTCTTAGCCCAAGGGAATATGCTACAATAAACTCCTACTGGTTTCCTTATCTCTCTCTGCCTGAAACACTCTTCCTCATTTCCCCATCTCCCTTCACCTCCTTTGCCTAACTAATACATCTATCAGTAGCAGCTTAAATATCCCTTCCTTTGGCCTCCTTCTGAACTTTATAGTAACTACTTGTAGACAGTCTGGTTTTCCTGTGAGACTAACAGTTTCGTAAAGTCAGAGACTATGTCAGTTTTACCTCGTGTTGAATCTCTAACATGTTCCACAGTGCCTGGTGCATAATAGGTACTTAGGAAATATTGCTTAAAAGAGAAAACACCCCAGCTTCTCTGATTTCAAAATTATTCTTTCTAAGACAGACTCAAATCATTGATTTCATTTCTTTTGCCCATGTGTTCAATTTATTTTGTGTTCATAGAGTATAAATGATTTCAGTACTATAGGGAGAAGGCTTCATATGCATGCATGTATACACATACATATATGCATATGCATACACATACCTGTACATCCATGAACCACATATCAATGGTTAACAATGTTTTGTTCAATGATGGACTACATCTATGACAGTGGAACAACATGCTGTCACATAAAGCCTACGTGTGTGGTAGGCTCCACCATCTAGGTGTGTACAAGTACATTCTGTGATGCTCAGTCAATGACAAAATTGCCTGATAAAATATTTCTCAAATTTATCCCCATCATTAAGTGACTCCTGACCACGTATGTGTGTTTTGGGTTGAGCAAGAGGATGGTTTTCTATATTGATAGCTCTCTTTAAAGAAACTAATTCAGGAAGTACTATAAAATACTATCAGACTGCCCGAGGGAGAAAGGAGATAATAGCTCTCTCTAGTAGAAATGCATTTGATGAGAGAGATAGAAGGTAGAAAATAAGATAAAACAAGGAAATTGACGGAGAGGTTCACACAAGAAAAGCTGCTTGTCATACAATAAATTTCGAACCACATAAATAAAAGGGGCACCAAATCAAGGTTTTTCTACAATTTTCAAAGTCAATGTTTTTCCTTTTCTTCTTTGTCTGATATTTTAAATTCAAAAATGAGGGTGCTCCTATTTTGGTAATGAGCATTTTGCATAGAATAGTGTTAATTCTGGAATTTCTGTGTAAACATAAGGGCATAAGAGTAAACAGGACAATTGTTCGTTTTTAAAGAGTTATTTATTTTATTTATTTTTTAATTTGCTATAGGGCATGCGTGCTCACCGGAGAGATAAATAGAGGGAAAGTGGAAAGTAAGTCACCAGGGCCAAGACTCTAACCGTGGTTAGCCATTTGAGAGTCCAGCACCCTAATCACCACATCACCTGCTGGCCCCTGTTTAATTTTTTTTTTAAGTTTGTTATTTCTTAAATGAGAGTAAAGGGCTGAGAGATAAAGAGAGATAGACACTCTTAACAAGGTCTTCATGACACAATCCACCCCAGCCTCTGCCAGTCCAGATCATGGGTGTTCATGTGTACCTGGCATGTCCAGAGATGTCCCATGATGAAAACACAGGACTTTTTCCATGCGGGTCCACTTATGCTATCACTGGGCCACAAATTGAGCCCACAATTGTTCATATGTGACTCTACTAGGCACTGACACTGAAATTGGCAAAGAATGTGTTTCAGTGCCTCTGTCCCCAAAATACTTAGCTCTCAATACTAGGTGACAACTCTAACTCTACCTGCCTCACTAACTTATGGTCTCAGAAATACACCAGACTTTAAAATATTACATTACCAGCTGTTCTTATAAGGAAAATAGAGTAAAGTTCTTGAAAAAAGGGAATATATTTCATCTTTGGTAAGTGAAAGTGATGTGTAAGTCTTAGAAAGTGGAATGATATTTTTTAAAAATATATCATTTTCTCATTTTCTCATAGGGAGAAACAATCAGATTATAAATTGTGAAGGAAACAAAGACATCTTGCTACCTGAGTTGAAATGAAGAATACAGAAAGAAATTAAAATGACTGTGGACCAAGGAAAACAGCCTTGTAGTAGAAAGGCCTGTGTGCCTTGTGGAGTGGTAAAGGAGGTAGCAGGGATAGAAGGGGGAGCTATATAACTAAATTTCTGCTTCTGCATTTTAAGCATAGCTCAAAAGAACTTGATTTTGCTTCCATCGCTTAGAGAAGAGATACGCAATATATACTAAATGCAGTAGGCTACCACAGATACAGACCTAATACAATTAAACATGACCTATTATTAAATGCTATTGAACACAGTAGAATGAGTAGTTATGCTACTGGAACGTGACTACTGGTAGGAAGATTTCAATAATAGGAACATGCAAGTGCCCTAAAGAATATGCACAGATGGTAACCATGACAATGACCCAAACCTAGCTCAATTTCTGACTAGATTGACTCAACTTTCATGTGAAAAATTTAGCAAGGTAGGAGGTGTTATAATTTCCATACTCCTTGCTAAAAGAAAAACTTCCTACAATTTAATTTAGCAGAATTTAATTGAGAAAATTTATTCAAATTGGGAAGCTACAGAATGGCTTCCAAGGGACTCCAGATAGTCACATGATGGGGCAACATTTATGCACAAAAAGAGGAAGTGACATATACATACACAAGAACAAAAAAGAAAATGAAAGAAAGAAAATGGAAGTAAGAGAATGAGCAGAGAAATAACTGGTTACATGTGTTATATACTGATGTTTGCCTACATGGGCACAGTTTAAAGGGTAGGCTGTCCATGACTGACTGAACTGTAGCTGCTCTGATTGGCTGTAACATAGCAATTTACTAAAGAAGAGGCCTTTCGTGTGAGGTTGTGATTTGCTTATGGGAACTAAAGCAGGAGTATAGAGGCTTTCTTAGGCCAACATACTATAGCATCCTATTCCCAGATTCCATTTACCTCAGACTGTACATTTCTACACAAGATTAATGACATGCATGCAAAACATAAAGACACATGAAAAAGCTATTACGAAAAACTTTGTGAAGAAACAAAACAATCAACTTAAACCAGATTCAGATACAACCCAGATGTCTAAGTATTAGACAGAAAATTTAAAGTGACTCCATTTAAACTCCCTAAGACTGCTGGGAAAAAAATGGAAATACACATATACACCTGGGAATTTCAACAAAGAGATGGAAACAATAGAAAAATAATAAATGAAAAAGGTACAAAAAATAATACGCTGACATACAAAAATGCCTTTTACAGGTTTAATGATAGAGGAAACACAACTGGGGAAAGAATCAGTGAACTTAAGAGATGTCAATAGAAATCACTCAAATTTAAACACAGTGAGAAAAGAGTGGGAAAAAAAAAAAAAACAGGGAAAGAAAATGAACATCCAAGCGCAGAGAGACAAAAATCAGTCTAGCATACATGTAATTAAAATTCCAGAAGGAAGAGAGACAGAACAAGGAAAAGAGCTATTTGAAAAGATAGTGGCTATAAATTTCTCCCTAATAAAATACACAAAACTACACACATCTTACATTCATACACATTCACAAAAATATGTTTTAAAAACTACCAGAAACCAAAAATTAGGATAACATTTTGAAGAAATGTTGAAAATAAAAAGAAGAAAGTATAAAGAAGATGAAAAATTACAGTGAACTTTACATCAGAAATCAAGTAAGCCACAGCCATGTAGTGACAACTTTAAAGTACTGAAAGAAAAGGAAGAAAAACCTGGTCAAATGGGAATTCTAGACGCAATTAAAATATCTTTCAAAACTAAAGCAAAAATGAAAACTGTTTCAGATAGTAAAAAAGACATAAATAATTACTAGTAGACTGCAGACTAGTAAACCACAGTACAATGAAATGCTTTTAAAAGAAAAGTTTTTCAATAAGAATAAATTACAATGCCATAAGTTTTTCAATAAGAATAAATACAATGCCATAAAAGAAAAAAAAGGAAATATACACAGAAATGTAGAATACTGAAAATGAGATAAATAAAAATAAACATAACATTCATTTTATTTCTTTTTTAAATTTTATTTCAAGTTCTTTTATATATTCAATCACATTATTTAGGTTGCAAAGTTAATATTGTAACATGTGTCCATTTCTCCCCAGTCTAGTTGATAATACTATAAAGTTATCTTCAACAGATAATATCCCAATTCTTTGTCCCATTAATGTTATGCCTCTCTATTTTTCTCCTTAATTTCCTTCCTCAAACTCTACTCCTTCACCCCCCTTCCCACCCTATATCTGGTATTCACAACCATTTACTGTGTTTCTATATCCTTTAGTCATTCAGATTTGGTCATAGAGTGCAGACAATTAATATTAAGTGGAGACATACAATGTCTCTCCTTCATAGCCTGACTTGTTTCACTCAGCAGTAAATCTTCCATATACATCCACTTTCTGTCAAAAGCCAGGGTCTTGTTGTCTTTTATGGCTAAACAGTATTCCATAGAGTATATGTGCCACAGTTTTTCAAACCATTTTATTTCTTTTAAAATATATCTCTTGAAGAAAATTGGCTGCCTAGAGCCAAAAATTGTAGCAGTAAATTGTGTGTTTATAGTGTCTACAATATAAATGTATGTTAATCATAGAACAATGAATGAGAAAAATGAACTGGGATTATAATGTTATGAAGTCCTGGGACCAACAGTTGGCATAATGGCTATGTCGCTGGACTCCCAGATAGTCGACCGTGGTTCGAGTCCCGGACTCAGCAGCTTACACTCATGTCGGAGCATATGCATGCGTGCCCAAGATCCCGAGAGGAAAATGGAGGAGAAGGGATTGTGGTGTGGCCATCCGCCCTAGGGGATGATTTCTCGCTTTGTGTCTCTCTGTCTCTCTCTGTCTTTCTGGCGAGCGCACGTGCCCTATAGCAAAAGCCTCTCCAAAAAAAAAAAAAAAAGTCCTTACCTATGGTAAGCTATATAATATTATTTGAATGTAGAGCATGAGTGATTAAATATATACTGTAAACACTAAAGCAAAAGTCTTTTTGAAAAAATTAAAGAGTGGTAATATGCTCATAGACAGCTTATAAGCTAGTTATAAAATCATAAAAAAAAATTCTTGATCCCAAGGAAGTCAAAAAATGGAGAAAAACAGCCAAGAAATAAATAAATAGAAAAATAACAAGCAAGATGACAGATTTTAGTACGAGCATGTCAACAATTACATTAATTGCAAACAGTCTAAACACGCCAATTAGAAACTATCAGAATGGATAAATGAAGTAAGACTCATTTAACATAAAAGATATAGATAGGCTGAAAGTAAAAGAAAGGAAAAGATATAGTAATTGAAAGAAAGCTAGAGTAACTACAATAAATTAGACAAGATAAACTCCAGAAGAAGACATTACCATAAATAAAAGAAATTGCATAATGATTAAAGAGTAAATGTACCAAAAAGACATAAAAATACTAAATTTGTATGCACCTACCAACACAGCCTCAAAATACAATAAGATTACACAGAACTGATGAAAATCCACAACTAAGAGAATTTGACACTCACTTCAATAACAAATAGAATAAATATAGAAAGTCAGTAAAAATACAGAAAGTCTGACCAAAGATTTTAAGAATAACATCATGAAAAGAAAATAGATGAACCAAAAGCAGCCAGAAGCTTTCCTGGCACCTCCCATGGGTGACATTGTAGTAAAATACTTCCAGTGAGATACCTCCTCATGAATAGCTTTCCTCAGAGTCCTAGATTCAGATTTCTAGCAAGTTCCACCATGAGTTCTCTGCCACCTAGTAATCCATAACTTTATCCTCTCCAACAAGGTCTGTCTCAGCCCTGGGGTAGAGGTACAAGCTCTTCTTTGGATTCTTCATCTCAGCCCTGGATGTGAGGCTGCTCTTCCTATCTGCTAATTTTCTCTTCTTTAACATTCTCTTTACTTTATATAATTCAGTCTCTCATTACCCCAAACCCCTATTAGTTCAAATTCTTTATCTTTAACTTTCTCTGTTCAAATTTGTTATCAATACGTGGGTTCTGTCTCCTGATTGAACACAGATAAATTACAGATCATTCTTCCTCAGACCCAGAAGGAATATCCTATCAAAGACTTTGAGGGTCTTCAAAACATCTCACTTTAGAGCTTGTATTCAACCCCACTGTCAAAAAAAAAAAAAAAAGGAAGAGGAAGTCTGTTTTATTTACTTATTGTCATACAGAAAATTGCCAACATGGCAACTGCACATACTGGTTGAGACAGACTCCCAAATAGTCTTGCATCTTTTTCCTCTTGAATAGAAAACAGAATAGACAGAACACTCATGCTGCCCATCAATTCTACAGTAAATCCCTCCTGTGGAAACACCAGGTTAGAAGAAAAGAATTTCTCAATACATGAACAAAGTTACCCATTAAGAGGAAAGCACAGCAGAAAAACCAGATATCTTGCCTTCTCATTTTTCATGGCACCTAAGACTTCATGCATTTATTTCCAAGCTTAAATAAATAAATAAGTAAAATTCTGTGCATAATCATTCCAAATCCCTTATGATTTTTCATAGCACTAATATTCTCACACCATATACTTTTCTATTTGGGAGCTTATTCCATCTATGTCCTTAACCTTCAGAAGTCAGAAGATGAGACCACAGTCTACAATAATTAAAACAGTAGGAAAGAGAAAGGGGAAAAGACCATCTAATTTTCATATATTGATTGACTGAGTTTGACTTGTTCAAAAAATTCTAACTGGTTTATCAACAGATTTGAAAAAATGAATAGCAGGACCTTAAAACTATAGATGGGGTAAGAAGGAGACTAAAGTTCACTTTTTCATTGTTCACTGTTGCTTGAATACCCCAAAGCATTCCTACTTATGTGAATAGCTCACATCATGGGAAATGGGAGTACATTCTATACTGTCTGTGGAAAATTCACTGTTCAAAAGTTCCACCATTTATGATGAACTTAAGTCCATTACCATTGTTTCAAGTTTTAACCCTTGGAATCATGAAATATACGTGCCAGCAAAAGTGTTTCAAATTAAAAACTTCTGCTATGTTCTCTTACTAACTTTGCACCTTTGATAATGAAGAACATTGCTCTGCTCGCTGAACAAAGTTCCTGGAACAAGTAAGACAGTCATCATAAGTAATAATGAGATGAGACAAAGTTCTCTCCACCCTCCACATGATTACAAAAGATCATCAAAGGAGCTAAAAACCCAAAGCCAACATCCTAAGAGTCTGAGAGGAGTGAAATCAAACCATCTGTCCAGAACTCCTTCTGATCA